CCCCCGGCGGGCTTTCGTCCGGAATGTGGTGGATCCGCTTATTTGCGAATTAAACACGATTGATACAACCTCCAAAAAGATTATGGCGCCATGACTTTATATCTCTTTCCCGGGTTTCTGACCTTGCCGTATACTGCCACTCAGTTCCTTGATCCTTTCTAGAGTTGTCTAGTGGGATGCAAAGTAGCGTAGGGTATGATGTTGGTGTGAACACGGCATTCATGGACATGATATGATCTGCGTACGTAGTTCGGTCTCCTATGTCGGTGTGAAGTTGTCCGTGTCTGGGGTTTCTACCTGTACAGATAAATATACATCATGCTCTAGGCCCTCAAGTCTATTTCCCCGTTACAAACGTCATCTATCCGTGGACACGTGGAGCTGTCTAGTAGTTGCATCAGCTACTAAATATATGTATACCGATTTTGCATAGCTGCTCATGAATATATATCTAGCCTTAAACGCCTTTGGCTGCGGCTACTAGGATTTCCTTGGTACTAATCTTGAATAAGCCACAACGTTAGCCCCGTTCTTGCACGAATCAGGTACCATATCGACGGATGTACCAGCAAGTTGATATATAATGCTCTATTATCATCTTAGTCTTCCAATAGTGAGGGTCGAACTGCTTGAAGGATTGAGAGGAAAGCATAGCAAGAAATATACGCAGAAGCATGAGATTAATTGTTGTTTGTATGCTTGGACAGCCATTCTGTACAAGTATATATAGCGACGTTACCTGCTATGGTGGACAAGGATTTTGCATCCAGTCCAATAATAGGATAGGCATATTCCATATTCATACTTCTAGTAGTGCTCGAGCAGATCTATATGCCGGGCGAAGCTTAATTACAAGCGCAAGAGAGTTTAATGCAGCGGCTATTCCTAAAAATTGACAAAAGTGATAAAATTTAGTTCTTTTTATTCATTACTTCTGCGTATCAGTCGTCAAAGTAATTCCTCGGGTATCGTTCGGGCAAATGTCCCTCAAATGATTTTTTTGTTGATTTTCATGAGCTGTTTTGACACAATTTCCTAAGCCAACTACTAGCTCAGAAGCTGATATCTTCTTTGCGGTAGTGGTCTGACACAATGCGGTAGAGGTATGATGGAGCATGGCCGCCGCTGGAGTGGAAGAAGCAAGGTTAGTTTTATGAAATAAATCAGCGTGCGGAATGGGTGCTTGAAACTTACAGGTTAGTGATGTAAAGATCGACGAGCTCTGCGGGAACGTAGTCATAGATGGGGTTTTGGACATCGATCAAGTCGACGAGGTCACCTTCTTCGTAGGGGAGGACCTTGCTCGGGTCACCGTATTCAATAAGTGAGTCGAAGTCGAATGGGTAAACAGGGCTGAGTTTGTAGACACCGCTCACGACGACGACGGGGGTTTGGTGGACCTTGGCGGCACGGGCGATGACACGGGTGCCAGCTGCGGCGACAAGGCCACCGTTGGCGAGGACGGAGTGTGTGCCGAGGATGACCTTGTTGACTCGTGACATGAGAGCGAAGACGGCAGAGTCTGGGATGAGGATGACGGTGATGCCGTGCTCGATCAGTGGCTTTTGGAAGGCTTCCAAGCCGAGATTGTCATCGTCACTGACAGCGCTACCACTGATGGTGGCGTGTGTAGCCTCGTGATTATTGGGGTACGACTCGGCATGGATGACGGTAAACTTTCGCTTTGCAGCGGCCTTGAGCAGGAACTTTTGGACAGTGGTCGAGGATGTGTGGGTGAGGATGATTTCGTTGGAGTGAATGTGGTCCAATGCGTAGGCAGCGATCTGATCGTCCACCTGGCCAAGCTCATCAATGATCTCGCCAATACCCTCAAGCACTTCGGCTCGTACGTCTTTGCTTGGGCCGTGGCCAGGGAGGCGTCCGCTTGGAGAGGAGGAACCCGGGGTGCTGGGAAGTGAGTTCTCGGGTTCGGGATGGGAGAGAAGACTGAACATAGAGGTCAGAGGGGGGCGAGAGGATCTTTCCTCGGACCGGAAGGAAGGCGAGTCGCGATCCAAAGGCAATGATGGATCTATGTATCTATGAGTCATTGCGTAGGTATTTGGACCAGAACCTTGGACTCACCGTCATAAGCCCGGGGTGTTTGTGGCTGACTCTCTGAACCAATGTCACTAAGGGCGAACTCAGCGTCGCGATCATCTTCCGCTTCGTCGCGAATGAGACCTAGGACCCGGCGCACGATATTGCCCACAACCATCTCGCGCGGTTGCGCAGCCATCAGTCGCCTGCCCACACTCTGCACCCGCTCAATAAGCTTTGCTGAATCTGTTGTGCGGCATGCAGAGATCACACTCCGTAGCAAATAGGCGGTTGCTGTGGCACATGATCGCGAATGACGGATTTGACGCCGCTTGAGCAATCTGATCGAAATATACTATGTTAGCGAGTGTGATCGTCGGTGGGGCAGCGGCTATGACTGGAAGTCTTGAGATACGCACGAAATCAGAGTCTCAATAGAAGTGTCAATCGGGTTTGTCTTAAGGCACTTGAGGAATGACCCCAGGCCCGGTGTCAGGGCCAACGAGGAAGACGGCATGAGGAAGTGGGATGTTGGGAGGAAATCTGCGCGGTGTCAGTGGGGGTTTAGGCGATAGACATGTGCAATGTCAAGTGATAAACATACCAAGTTTCAGAACCAAATCACACTGAGCAGGTTGTAAATAGAAAGTTGATCAAGAGATTCTCAGATTCTCGCAGGAAGAGCCCGAGAGAGTGGGAGAGACAAAGAATGATTTTCTGCCGTTTGATCTTGTCCGCTTCCCCACACTCATTGATCCTCGCTCTATTGTCTCGGCTTCGGCTTTCTCATTGGTGTTCTTCCAGTTTTCGCTTTCTATTATTTCATTTCCGTTTTTGGTTTGCTTTTTATCGGCTTTGAAAAGCTTGTGGTATAAATCAGATTGGAGTTGCGGAAGTACTTCCGAGGCACGGGTGACTGGCGCATTGAGGTTAGAACAGCTCACACCTCCTCGCGATCCCCCTCTTTCCCTCTGATTATCATCGAACCCCTGCACACTTATCTTATGGACCGCTTCAGGTGGCTTTGATGATTTACTCACGATCAGTTTGTTAATAGATCGCTGCGCCCCTGTCTCCCGTGACGCCTTGAGGGAAGATGAACTCATTGAATATCCTGTCCTCGCGAGTCATTGGGCAATCTTCCAGCTCTTCACGCCACAGATCGCAGTCCCAAGGCGATAGCAAACGTGCACCTCTACCGTCAGACCTCTCGAAACTTCGGTCTTATAGCGAGGATAACTTTCGGTCTCTCGACCCTACTGAGAAGAGCTACGACGATGGATCGCCTGTGGACGAAGATGGAGGGGAGGATGCTGCATATGACTTAGACGAGAAGACACCGTTACTGCATGAAGCTCACAAGAATGGCACGCTCGCTACTCGAAGTACTTGGCGACTAATTACCCAACGGTTTTTCGATGCGATCACGGAAACTATCAAGTTCATTCTGTCCACGTTTGCTGCACCTGGTGTGTATTTGGCCCAATGCTTCCAAGCTGATGATGGTCGCTACTCGCTTCTTGCACCTGTTCGAAAATTGCGGCGCTCATCTGCCGACCCAACGATCCGGTCGGCTAAAGGGGCCACCCGGGTAGAAGGTCGGCGTCGCAGTGGCTCCACCCGGAAGCTCCGACCTCAAGGCTCTCATGAATCTATTATATCAACGGCGTCAGAGTCCGACACAGATCGACGGCATATCAAAAATCTCTCAAGCGGGAGGAACCGACCCACCAAGACAAAAGGCCACGATCCAGATCCAATCCCAGAAGGGGAAGAGCATGAGCACACGCCTCGTCGGTCTATACGAATCAAGCTCCATAATGAAGAATCTCTCAAGCGGCAGAGACAACGAAGATCCCAGAGTGCAGATTTAGGACATCCAATGCCCGAGGGCGTCTCTCGAGTCCAGGGAGCTGTCCACCTGGACAGCTTAAAGTCCCCAACCTCTCCCAATATCCACCGCATAACGAAGTACCCACACTCTCCAACCCCACCGCGTCCGCTCCTCCCGTCACGCGTACCTTCATATACTGCAGCTCCCCGCAATGCTAGGCTCCCGCAGAAGACCTTGGTGCTGGATCTTGATGAGACTCTAATCCACTCGCTCGCCAAGGGTGGTCGGATGTCCAGTGGTCACATGGTTGAGGTTAAGCTCTCGATACCCACGACTACTTCATTGTCCCCTGGCGGACCGCAAACGACACTGGGCCCCCAGCATCCCATTCTATACTATGTCCATAAGCGACCACACTGCGATGAGTTCCTGCGCAAAATCAGCAAGTGGTATAAGCTCGTCATCTTCACGGCCAGCGTTCAAGAGTATGCCGACCCTGTCATCGACTGGCTCGAGCAGGAACGGAAATACTTCCATGGCCGCTTATACCGACAGCATTGCACATTCCGTAACGGGGCATACATCAAGGACCTGAGTTCTGTGGAACCGGATTTGAGCAAGGTGATGATTCTGGACAACAGCCCAATGAGTTATATCTTCCACGAAGGTAATAATCACGTTTCTCTATTTTGGTGCATTCGAACTAATGATTTTTGCCAGATAATGCAATTCCCATCGAAGGCTGGATCAACGACCCCACGGACAACGGTCTGCTCCACTTGGTTCCTATGCTCGAAGCTCTACAATATGTCACGGATGTCCGGGCATTGTTGGCACTCCGCCGTGGTGAAATTGAGTCATGATCGTTACCCGCATTTGTGTTAATGAATGTGCATGTAGGTGTATACGGGATTTGTGTTTTAGAAGCGATGTTCAACCTTCCAACAAGAAAATAGAAAAAAAATATCACAGAGCAATGGAGGGATTGGAGACCGATACGATCATACAAGCGCAGTTATTCATAATGGCATTGGGTGTCTCGTTTTGTTATTAGGAGGGGAATGGAAATTCGTACATATGACCTCGACTTTCTTGAATCTAGGACAAAACATAAGAACTCAAGGACCTAGAACTCCACAGAAAGCGCCATAATCTTCCCCCCTCTGGTACTCGTGTTGTTAACCGGAAGCCTGGTCTCCCCTCCAGTAGTAATGTAAAGAACATTGCGATCCCCCCGTCTCCTCCCAAAAGCCGCCGAGGTAGCAGTCATCAACTCCGTCGAGTTCTTCGAACCCGCAATAATTTCATGAGACCCATTAGGAAAGACCTTAGTAACCACATTATCAATAAGACCCGCCAGATACGCAACCCCACGCGGACCAATAGCAAAGTCATCGCCCCGTGTATCGTGGCTGATAATCTCATAAGGCCCCAAAGCATGCCCAGTGTGTATATCGATTCGAACACGACAGAAAATCCGCTTCGGGCTGTTGGTGTAGTACATATAATCTTTTACTATCTTCAACCCGTTGACACCGAGCAATAAACCCATGTCATTATTTGCGGCCATTGTCTCGTCTTGGTGGATGACGCTGTAATTTCCGGTGCGGATATCGAGACGCCATATAAGGCCGAGTTGGGAGTCGGTTATGGCGACTGCGTTCCCATCATCTAGAGCAGCAATGCCGTTCAAATAACCAGCGGGGAGTTTCGCAATCAAAACTGACTTGGGCGCATTTTCGTGGGTTCTGAGATCGACTGTATAGACTGAGTTGGATGCAATGACTGCATAGATATCTGGTGAAAGCTCCGTAATCCCATCTGCGTCTTCGGCGCCCTCGAAGTGGTGAACTAGATGGGCTGAGCTGGGGCCTGATGGAATTGAAGGGTCAATTTCCCAGAGCTCTGCTGTGCTCAGGTCTGCGACGAGGAGGTTGCCGTTGGGCCGGACTGCGATGTTCTCGATCCAGGTCCCGTTTGGGAATCTGTAGATCTCACGGAGATTGGGGGTGTAGGCGAGACATAGCGTTTGTGTGCATGTAAGCAATAACAATAGAGAGCCTAGAAGATTAGCCATCTATGAAGGGTGTGGCACAATGCTCTGAAACACTGAAGCTCGTGGGAATCATTATCATATATTTCGTAGGAGATGGCAGACATGCCAGGTTTCTCCTTTTGGTAACACTGAAGCGGAATAAGTTGGTTTCCTTGGAAACCGGATGGTCATGGATGTACCTGTGTACAGGGTGATTGGTAATACACTCTTGGCTGTATTGTGCCCAGGTGGCTAGGTGATCATGTACAGGGTGCTTGGTAATACAATTCTTGGCTGGATTCCTGTTGCGGGGACATAGCCCCGATTCTATGTTGTACCACTATCACTCCACACTGCAGCCTGCATGGAAATAGCAGGCTGAGGCAGAATAGCCCTAGGTACAGAGCAATCTGAAACCGCAATACTTTCCCAAGACATCAAGGGGTGAGTTTGTGTCTGGAGAAAGATTATCTGGGGTAAGGGTGGAGAGCATCTTTGATTTTATTCCTGGATTAGAGTTAAACATTATTATAACATGTTTGGAGGGATTTTTTTATGCCTAGATGGCTCCATGGGTTCTGCCTTTAACTTCCTGGATCTACGCCATGCATGCTCCTGTTGTAGGAGGCGTCGTTGGGCGCCGAGCTAAAGTCCTTAGCGTAGCAGGCTGTGTTTCTCTTGGCTTGTGTTGAGGCTTCTGTCTTTGGATGATAAGATTTTTTTTCCTTTAGGATTGTATTCTTTGAGAGGGTGAAATATACATAATAACAATCTTGCTAATTTCAACTATGTAACAGCACATCATTCGGCACTCAGGCATATGGTCTATGGTCTCCTTGCTGATTACACTCGGATTTAAAGTCTCGCTTTGTCCGGTTGCTTACTGAGTGGGTCTCAATTTGTAGATATGATTGGTGAGCCAGTCTGAGTTGCCAATGGGCATAAGTTTAAAGCCGCGATGGGACCCACGTGAATGGTAAAAGTAACCTCTTGGCCATGACGTACAATAAGCATCCTGCATGATGCCCAGGTGCTGAAAGGTGATAGCAGATACATTAACACCGATATTTAGAATCAGACTGCTTGGCGCATAAGGCGCCAGTATTCGGGGCTTGAACATTGCCGACGGAAGAGACGGGGACGAATAAACCTTCCTTTGTCTCTTATCATTCTTGGCGCGAAGGATTTTGTGTGCACCCTGATGATAATTCTAGCGACCACTCGGCAAACTGTTTATCCCGAGTGCGTCTTGGTATGCATGCCATGGACCGCACGGGATTCCGACTCCCCTCTTCTGCCCTGGCCGAAGCGGCGCCGTTTCTGTAAGGTTACATCTTACTACCCACAACCAGCAATCTATGGTGCATTCCGCTACATCTTGGATAAACTGCTAGAAAACCGTACAAAATCTGGCAATATATCTTGAGAGCCACAGGTATTGTTGATCTTCTCTAGTTGGTCTTTCGAGGTGCAACATCTATACTTGAGTATACTACGAAAATGTCAATTCGCGGGCGCTCCGCGTATCAACGTCGCGCCAGAGATGAAAGGTTGCGATTGACTGCGAATGGCACTTTTCAAATATCAGTTTTTAGCGACTTGCATTTTGCTGAAGGTACGATGAAAGACTCGAACTGTTGCTTCGGGATACTAACTATATTCAAAGCTGATGAGGCGGACAACAAGACCGCAGGGGTGATGAACAGCGTTCTTTCTTCAGAGGACGTGCAGCTCGTGGTACTTAATGGAGATTTAATCTCTGGCGAGGCAACGCAAAGCTCCACCAATTCTAGTATCTACGTTGATCGGATTGTTGCACCACTAGTCGATCGTGATTTACCATGGGCATCGACTTATGGGAATCATGACAGCGAGATTAATTTGGACCCCGAAGAGATATATCATCAAGAGACAAAGTACCAAAACAGCTTAACCCAGAGAAGGGTTCGGGGCTCCACTGCCGGCATCACGAACTATTACCTGCCAGTATTTCCGCATGAGGCTTCAAATGACAGTACCCCAGTATTTATATTGTGGTTTTTTGACAGTCAAGGTGGTCATTATGCCTTGACAGAGAACGAAGAGCGCAAGTCAGTCCCGAGACAGAGTTGGGTAGATGATGCGGTAAGTACCATGGCGTTAAATGGAACCCTAGGGCCCTCACATCTTCCCATGCTTAACTAGGGGTTTATGGTTGATTTTTCACATACTGACAACTTACAGGTTGTTGAATGGTTCACAGAAGCCAATGCAAACTTAACGTCCACCTACGGGCAAACAATCCCATCTCTAGCTTTCGTCCATATTCCGGCTCTTCCAATGCGCGCATTCCAAAAATCCGGCGTTAGTCCGACCCGTGAACCAGGAATCAATGGAGAACGAGTCCAGCAACAAGGCTATGACTCCACGACCGGCTACCAGTCTCAAGATCTCCCATTCATACACGCTCTACTGAATACCACGGGGCTGGCAGCGACTTTCAGTGGCCATGATCACGATAATGACTGGTATGGACCACACTACGCTAGATATTCCATCTTTAGTTCAAAGGCAAAATGTAAAAGATCGCATTTGACTAATCTTTTTCATTTTCACAGGTGCTTCAAGTGGAATAGTAAGCTTTCTGACCTCAATATCACGGGAAATGGTATGAGCATGTGCTACGGCCGGCATACGGGATATGGAGGGTATGGCGAATGGGCGCGTGGTGGAAGGCAGATTTTGTTGAATCAGCAGTCGCTTGGGGACGATGTACGGACCTGGATTCGGATGGAAGATGGGTCAATTTCAGGTGATGTTCATCTCAATGCGACATACGGCCAAGATCGATATGGGTTGTCGCAGAGGAGAATCAGCGAGCAGAATGGTGGTGGTCTTTCTCCTTCTCCTTCATACTTCGGGGTTGGCTACTTGTGGATATTTGTATTCTATGGGCTTATATCTAGGTTTCATTTATGGTAAATGATTCGGTTTTGTCGATAGAAGTGTGCAAGGACAACAAGTCTGTTGAATTGAGGGATTGATCATGGCTCGCTCTCAAGGGAGTTTGCGAGCGTGTAGAATTTGTTAAAGTGGCACAGTCCATCTTGCCTTAAAGATGACTGCTAAGGCCCGAAAACCTCGACTTGGGGCATAATGTGAGAAACATTAATGTTGTAGCAAAGCTGTGAAATGGAGAGGCAGCTATTGGTGTTGATGCGGGGCCAAATTGCTGCCATTGGATGTTGTATTTGTACCTGGTGCCTAAGAGAGCGAATTGAAGATGGGTGTTGTTCTCTGTCGTGGGTGTCGCGTTATTATGGTCCAAGGACTGCATGCGCCGGTGCAGACAGTAGTAACTCGATAGTCATGTTTCCCAAGCGTTCGCCCTAGCTCACATAAACCTGTATGTATGTATGTAGGTTGTGGTCGCTTATCCCCCTTATCGGAATCAACCGTTTTGTCTGTCTTCCAGTAGGTTTCACAATAATTTGCCAACAGAATCCCGTCACAATGGTGAACCCAAACCTCATGAGACAACGTATGTTATATAGGAGGTATGGTCTGGGCCCAACATACGAAACCCCTGATCTTTCTCAGAGATAGAACACAGCCCTTTTGATCGTCGAAAGAAAGAGAACTGGCTCTCCCGCCTCTGACGTCAGAGACCCCTGGAAGGCCCCACCTTTCTGCCCCAGACCCACGGTTGTCAATTTACCAAATGCGGTCATCCGAAAACGAAATGATTTTAGGGCTCGAAGAGATTGAGATTAATTGATTGGGGTAATATTAGAAAATGATAAGATTATCTACAGATGAGGAATATCAATTACTTACCTCACATAAGAGCTAGGGATCATAAAATGATTTGAAACATTACATTTACTGTGTTATATGTACATAATTCATTGGATATAAAAGCTAACAAGTCCAAGTTTCTTGGAAGGATCTGTCGAATAGCTTGTCTCGCCATCTTTACACGCGTTATATGGCTTGGCATATGCGTGGTGACCGAAAGAGTGGAGAATCTAAATGAGCCCTAACCCATCCGAAGACAAAAGACCCTATGGAGTATATTATTCGACATCATGTGTCGCCGATCGTCTCTTTCACTCGCACCACCCCATACTTTGTACTTTGTAAGAATATGATAATTTTGATCTGCCAATACTTACCCTACCCAACCATGAACCGTTCAACTGTACGCATACAAACAACCTCGTCCTATACTTGGCTCAGCCGGTGGCGAACAACATGATAGATCTACCTACTGGTTGATCGTCGGTCATGTCCTTGCGAAACCAACCAGCAAATGCTTGCAATTTCTCTCAACCCCACAGAAAAGTGGATTAAGGCCCTGAAAACTATTTTTAATATGGATCTTTTGAGTTTGGGGTCTTCTGCCCATACATCATTACGCCGCATCCCCAACCCCCAAAATCCCTTTGACAAGCAAGGTCTCGCCAAAATTCCATCTCGAATCGCGACCGTTTCTCCTTTTAGATTGATACCACCTATGATTGATTTAAGCCGAAATGCACTTGTCCGGAACATGGTCTATACTTAATGGCCTCATCGCAACACTACTCTTCTCAACATTAACACCTGCGATCGAATTGGACATCGGCGATGAACGTACGTCATGGCTACTCGAAATTATTTTTCGATAAAAAGTGGCATGGGACTGACTTTGTGATCATTGGACAGAATCAATCAAAGATGCCGCAAGCACGAGTGCTTACTCCATGATGGGGTGGTATGCCGGCAATCAAACTGGACAAATTCCTGGTGCTTTCCCTGAAAAATGGTGGGAAGGGTCTGCTCTTTTCCTTGCACTGCTTCAATACTGGCACTTCACCGGTGACACGACCTATAACTCTTTGGTGAGCCAAGGAATGGAGTGGCAATCGGGTGATAAGGGTGACTACATGCCCAGCAATTACAGTAGCTACCTGGTGAGAACCATACCCCGATTCCAAAATACCGTCTAGGATATTTCTCATTTTTTCGAATCTTTAGGGAAATGACGACCAAATGTTCTGGGGTCTCGCAGCCATGATGGCCGCTGAGCTGAAATTCCCCGATGTCCCAGATAAATTCTCGTGGCTTTCGCTCGCACAGGGTGTATTCAACACCCAGACTGCTCGATGGGATACAACAAAATGCGGTGGTGGTTTGCGTTGGCAGCTCTTCCCTTACCAGGACGGATACACCATGAAGAACGCTGTGTCAAACGGCGGTCTGTTCCAGCTCGCTGCACGCCTCGCCCGCTACACAAATGAAGACAAGTACACGAAATGGGCCGAGAAAATCTGGGACTGGTCTACTTCATCGCCGCTAGTGAACAACAAGACTTGGAACGTTGCCGACTCAACGCAAATGGCAAATGACTGCGCCGACGCCGGTAACTACCAGTGGACCTACAACTACGGCACATACCTGATGGGTGCTGCATACATGTATAACTTCGTGAGTATTCCATGCGGTCAATCTTTCTATTTGCAAATACTAACACTCCGTCCGTACAGACAAATGGAGATGAGAAGTGGAAGACCCCTGTAGACGGTCTCCTTGGCAAAACCCTAAAAACCTTCTTCCCCAATGGCGACGTCTTCGAAGACACGACTTGTGAACCCATTAAAAAGTGCAATTTTAATGAAATCCTCTTCAAGGGCCTCACCTCATCATGGCTCGCATTCACGGCACTATTGGTCCCCGATACCGCAGCGCAGATCAAACCCAAACTCGCGAGTTCCGCACAAGCTGCGGCGAAGTCCTGCACAGGAAACAACAACAACTCATGTGGTATCACGTGGTATCAAAACCAGTGGGACGGGTCAACTGGCATGGAGCAAGAGATCAGCGCAACCAATGTTTTCCTTGCGAATATGATCAACTTTGATACCGGCACGTTTGGACCTGTCACCTCCAATACTGGTGGAAACAGCACCAGTGATCCCAATGCGGGTGAAGGAAAGGGAGGGGATGGCAAAAAAGAGAAGCCGATTACGACTGGAGATAAGGCCGGTGCTAGTATTTTGACTTTGATGTTTGTCTTTGGTTGGGCTGGAGCTATGGCTTGGATGATGCTGGGTGCTTAACCTGGCGGTATATTATATGTCTCTTTTCTTGCATGGGTTTAGAGGGGTCGGAGTTTTTGTTCTTAGGGGGACTCAATAATGTTTGTACATACTATTTCAAAATCATATTTACTCCCCTACAATGAATAGGATACGGTCTAATATTCCAGTTAAGTTCAACCGACAGGGAGCTTTTTCTAGGACGCGGAGATGGTTATAGAGTGTTTTTATTACGAGAAATCCCAGGGTTCAAACTAAGTCCTAAGTAAAAAGCATAACTTAACAAGGTGTTCAAACTTAAGGTGTTTATAAAGGCTATCTCAATCAATTGATCCTCAAATAATACTTCAGTATCACAAGAGCCTTATCGTGTCCAGAGCCCACCCAAAGATTTTGACGTGTATTTCAGCTTTTGAGGGGTATACTCTCTGTATATTAGGTCACTATAGCTGAGAAGTAAGCCATTACGAACCTAAGAAATGTAGAGCAAGCCGAAAAAAGATAGACCAGGCACTTCAATCCCCTTGTTGAAAGCCCAGGGACATGAAGTGGCAATGATCATGGACTAGCATAGACCTTTTGTTTATTAAATATTTCTGTTCTGAGCAGACCCTGGCTTCTGCCCAAATCCGTGATCTTCACCACCTTCGTAATTTAGACTACGGAAATGACCAGGGCGAATTGACTCCTGCATTATTGGCTATTGGTATCGCCGAGGCTTCCGGAACCAGGTCCACTTAAGCAAGGTTAGGATATTTGCCCTAAATGCAGGCCAATGTACTATGTGCCACAGAGAGAATCCTTGATAAAATGTACTCAATAAACGCCTTTTCCCTGGAATCGGAAGTGCGCAACATCTATACTATGTAGTACCAGAAAGGAACTCGTCAACTTCACCTGCCAATCCCCAGCTAATTTTGTACCCATTTGCTCCAGCACCGTAACAAGAGACCAGGGGAAGAAGAGTTTTGGTATGGTCCATCAACTGCCCCGTGACAAAATGGAGTCCACCGCGTCTCATCGGGCGCCGAGCAACATAGACTTGTTTTATATCAAACCCATTCGTCGAAGCCAGTTCATCCGCCTGTTCGTAAATCATCTCAGGACATAGATCCCTCACCCTCTTTAGAATGACCTCAGTTGAAGCATCATCGATATCCTCAGACCTGACGAGCGTTAGTGTCACTGCAACCTAGGGGAATAGATGAACTCAAACCATACCAGTTATTAGGCTCCTTTGTTCCACCAATGACAGTCCCCCCACCCAGAGGTCGGGGTATGATGACCGTAGAGGAACCATCACTCCAATGATGACTGATAGTCCTATCACAGTAATTCGAGACGATGATGAACTGACCCCGCGAGGGGAAAGAGGCAGGATCATCAAACCCCCTCCCACTTGCATCGACAACAGCCGAAACATGATCGCTCTCATCCTGGGATTTATTCTGCCGATAGACAGACAACCCCTGTTTTAGGTTCTTCAAATTGGCTCGAATGAACCGAGTCCCTTGCGCCTCTGCCCGCGTCTGTAACCATTTCAAATAAACCGGAGAATTCAGGACCCAGCTGCGGTAGGTGACGGCTAGCTGGATAGACGGATGTTGAGAGGGGTATGCTGCAGGGTGCAGAATACGAAAGTCTGGCCATGTAGTGTAACCATTTGCCTCTGCTAGGAACGAGGTCGTGTCGGCCGTATCGAAATATTCAACCGCAGGAATAAAATCCACGCCGGCTTCTGGATGATTTTTCGCGATTTCTTCGAATTCTTGGTAGGTTTGTCGCATCCAGTTCTGTTCTATTTGTTCGTCTTCTGTTTTTGCGGGGGTGGGGCGGAAATGTGCCCCTGCCCATGGAGAGGCGTAGTCAATGCCAACGTCTCCCGGTAACTCTTTCGCAATAACGGTGACTTTCAAGTATTTGGATAGTTTGACTGCGATGCTGAGACCGATGACGCCGGCTCTGTTAAATTACTGTTAATAGATAGAAAAAAATGTAGATCGAAAAGAGGGTAGACTTGGCTCTCACCCGACGATGATAACATGGCCTTGACTCATATTGATTGGTCCACACAGATCCCTGAAGTTCCAAAAGCTGTAATGGATATTTTATGAATGAATCTATGTCGAATTGTTTAAAGAGTTCAAGTGTCAAGTGTGAGTCATCTAAATTCTTCCGACACGGGAAAATCACACCGAACAGTCACATTGGGGGATGGGGGGTATTGAGTTGTAATCAGAGCAGAGGAGAAATGGCAAGGGATTGATTGGATCGTATAATAGTTCCATGTCCTTTGTTTGTACCTGGGCATGGTTGTATAAGGTACCTACCTATAGGGGGTTTTGTTATGGGCCATGTAATGGTGATTTTGGCCCAGGAGCTGTGTGACATAGTTTCAAAGGCACATAGCTATACACAGTAGAATATGAGAAAGAAATATACAATGACTTCTTTCAAAGATGGTCATTGCAATATGTTCAATCTGTAACTTCACGCATTAAGCGCGACGCGAAAGCGGTGTGGATCTGCATGAATTCGCCATTCAACCCCAAATTCACCCCTTCTCACCACAGATCTCACGTCCAGATATGGTCGCAATCACAGGCAGGGACAGGCAGGCTGTTGCTGTATCTGAGACTACCGCCCTCCTAGGGTCCAGCAAGATCAACTATGCTGACGTGCCCGCACCAGGCACCCTGTACAGTTCGTCAGGGTCGGGAGATGACAATAACGACAAGGAAAAACCCTTGCCTAAGTTCCAGATCCTGCTGCTCTGCTATGCGCGTGCAGTTGAACCCCTAGCCTTCTTCTCTATCTTCCCTTATGTCAGCCAAATGGTGAAGGACAACGGGAACGTGCCAGACTCGGACATCGGCTTCTACAGCGGACTAATCGAGTCGATGTTCTCCCTAACGCAGGCTGCTGTCATGATATTCTGGGGCCAAGCAGCCGACAGATTCGGCCGCAAACCCGTCCTGGTTTTGTCTTTGTTCGGCGTGGCCGTGGCGACGGGCCTCTTTGGCCTTGCAAAGACCATACCACAGATGATCGCCTTCAGGTGTCTTGCTGGCGTCTTCGCTGGGACTATCGTCACCATCCGCACGATGGTGTCCGAACACAGCACACCCAGTACCCAGGCCCGGGCGTTCAGCTGGTTCGCCTTCAGCGGGAACTTGGGCCTTTTCCTGGGGCCTTTATTGGGCGGTGCACTTGCTGACCCAGTACGACAGTACCCTGGTATTTTCGGGGCTGGGGGCTTCTTTGAGAAATATCCCTACGCGCTCTCGAGCTTCGTGGTAGCTTTGATCGGAGGCACCGCTGCTATGTCCAGCGCCTGCTTTATTAAAGAGACGTTGAAGGAGCCGGCTGTGGTGGATCGGGAGGCGGCATCCAATGCGCCGATTCAGAGCGGTGACCTATCGACAAAGCAGCTTCTCAAATCGCCAGGGGTTGGTATGGTTCTATACACGTACGGGTACCTCATGGTCCTCGCCTTCGCTTACACCGCCATCATTCCTGTCTTTTGGTTCACCCCCGTAGATCTCGGAGGGTATGCCTTTACGCCTCTGCAAATTTCGTTGATGATGGGTCTGAATGGTGCCGCACAAGCTGCGTGGCTTCTCCTGGTATTCCCCCCGTTGCAGAAGAGGATAGGGTCGAATGGAGTGATACGTCTCTGCGCTTCTCTCTATCCGTTCTTCTTCTTATCCTGCCCTCTTGGCAACGTACTTCTGCGGATGGGCACAGAAGCATCCGTCAAGGCCTTTTGGATTATCTTGCCGTTCACGCTGGTGGTCGGCTGCGGAGTTAGCATGAGCTTCACGGCGATCCAGCTCCTCCTGAACGATGTCTCACCGTCGCCACAGGTACTGGGAACACTGAATGCGCTGGCCATGACTGGTATTTGCGGGCTGAGAGCCTTCAACCCGGCTCTGTTCACCACCCTTTTCGCTCTGGGAGCGAGGACACAGCTGGCTGGGGGTCATGCCATCTGGATACTCATGTTCCTACTTGCTTCGGGCTTATCGATTACCACAAAATATCTCCCAGAGTCCAATACCGCCGTTAAGCGCCAGAACAGCCAAGCGAGGTGATGATGTTCCGACCAGCTGAATTCACAGCACTATCAAGATGGGCCCGGGGCACTTGTTGGAGGAGGGCCGTTCCATTGGCATGGATTATAAAAGTTGCAATTCTATTCAATATTTGTTTCATGGCTTAACTGCCGTACATTACATGGGACTATGTCAATAAGAAAAACATGAACAGGATCATATCTGAGTGAAGATAGATTGATTGCATATAACAGAGCGCATTGCAAATTTGAATTTCGTTTCTGCACCATATCACACTCATCGATATGTTCAAGTCTTCGGGACTTCCCAGTCATACTAGATATTTCTCCGGCCATAAATTTTCTAAGAGGAGGTGCAGTGAGTAAACACCTGTGTCTACGGCTTCATCTTGATGCTCGTTTCTTCATATCCTTTATTCATTCACGAGTTTCACCTGAATAATCACAATTTTAGACCCTGCTCAATCCATCGAGCATCATTCACAACCTCCCTTGAAGCAAGAACATCATCATCTGAGCTTACGACTATTTTATAGATCATCGTCACCCACGCCGATCATCGTCGATCATGACGACCTACGATCTACGCCAAACAATGTCTATGTTGCAGAATGCAGGGGCAAGGAATCCAGATGACATTGCATTACTATAATTTTCCCCACTGACTTAATTGAGTCTCATCCGTACCAGTCTACTTCAGTCCAGTCGGTACATCCTATACACCAACGTTACAACACCAAAAGCCACCATGTCAACGTCCGACGAGAAAGTGATAGTGGTAGACTTCGATGGTGATCACCCCCAAGACTGGCCGGCAAGTCGAAAATGGACCCTCATGGCGACCATCGCAATCCCGCTATTCCTCATGCCCTTGTCATCGACAATGACAACTCCAACAGTCAATGCAATTGCAGATGAATTCCACACAACCTCTTCCATCACCGGTCCATTGGCACTATCATTGTTCCTGCTCATGTACTCCATGGGACCAATCTTACTCGGGCCGTTCAGTGAACTCTACGGCCGATGGCCTGTGTTGCAGGTTGGCAGTCTTTTCTACCTATTCTTCAATCTCGGCGCTGGGTTCAGCACAAGCATGACCCAGTTGTTGATATTCCGACTATTGAGCGGGACAGGAGCGAGTGCATCACTAGCTGTGAGTTTGTGATTCCACTTTATTTCATCCTAAAGCTAACAATCTACCAGGTCGGGTCCAGTATAGTGGGTGATGTCTTCCGCAAAGAAGAGCGCGGGCTACCCGTCGCTCTAGTCAGTCTCGGTCCAGTCCTGGGATCATGTCTCGGTCCCATTGTCGGCGGATTCATCGCAGACTATACCACGTGGCGCTGGGCGTTTTGGTCCACTTCCCTAGCCGCGGGTGCATTTCTGGTGGTGTGTTTTATCGTTGCACGAGAGACATACGCACCTATCCTGCTGCTGCGCAAAAAAGCAACTTTAATGGCTGAGACAAGCAGACAAGGCAAAGACGATGGCTCTGTCTGGAAGACCCCGTTTGAAAAAGATGAGACAGTCGGCCAGCTATATAGACGTACTATCTCTCGGTCCGTATACTTCCTCGGCACGCAGCCCATTATCCAAGCGCTAGCTTGCTACTATGGCTATCTTTACGGAATTGTCTACCTCCTTCTTTCCGGCTTCTCGGATCTTTGGACGACACGTTATCATATGAATGTCAGCACCGGTTCCCTCCACTACATTGCACCGTGCATTGGCTACGCCGTTGGTGCTCAGATCTGTGCTTTTCTGACCGACCGAGTGTATCGGTACCAAGTAGCTAAGAACAATGGTGTGGGGAAACCCGAGTTCCGGCTACCGATTATGGTACCGGCTTCGTTTCTGGTTCCTATTGGATTGCTGATTTACGGCTGGAGTGCAGAGTACCAGACTCATTGGATTGTGCCGGATATCGGTATTGCACTCCCACTCATGGGCGCAACTATCATCTTCCAGTGTTGCAGCCAGTATCTGCTGGATACTTTCCCTGTCTATGCTGCCAGTGCCAATGGCGCTGTCTATATTGTGCGAGGATTCACGGGCTTTGGGTTCCCGTTGTTTAGTCCGGTGATGTACGAGAAACTTGGATATGGATGGGGAAATAGCTTGTTGGCGTTTTTGGCTTTGGCGATTGGATGTCCTATTCCTTTTATCTTGTGGAAGTATGGAGAGAAGCTGAGAGCACTGAGCAACTTTGCAGAGAAATAAGCACAACTATCAAAAATGAAGCTTTTGGCCCTATACAGATGAATATATCTTCATACAAGAATAGTCGGCCGCCTTTGCGGCCTTGTGATGTCATTTTAGATGGTCTTCCAGCTGGTCTTTTTAGGATAATTGTTTGAGATATCAAAAGCTTCATTTTTGGACTTAAAACACGACCACAATCAGTGTACTTTAATTATGAAGATATGTGTAATAGTAATTCAGGAATCTTAATTTCTCTGACGTTCTAAAGTCAGGCATTCAGGCACTAAACCACCTATAAAAGAGGGTTTGAACCCTGAGTCCTATAAGTCTTCGTACACGCCCTCTCACTAAAATGACTATTCTATCAATACTCCTAGTGCTGTCTATAATCCTCATCCAAGTTGCCAGTTAGAGAGCTTTGATAAATAGGTAAGCCTAAATAAGTGGCTTTATACTGAGGATAAAGTTGATCTTAATGAACATTCTATTCTATCTGCCCTCATTCCCCATCCTCATTCATCCGCACAATTTCTTTCATCATATCATAGCACACCCTCTCACTAACATAGCTATCCTGGCGATAATGCTCATGCGAGCGCACGAACTCCCTCATCCAAGTAGCCGGTGTAGGATTTTTACCACTAGCCCTCTCACTAATCAACTCCAAATACGGAGCAATATTATCCTGCTCCGCCGACGGCATCTTGCTCTGATTCAGGTAGTACCGAACAATAGCAACCAACCCAGGGAACCCATTCGGCTCGGACTCACCATTGAAGATCTCATCAGCAGTCATGAGCGCAAAGTTCTCCCCCTTTTCCTCCTTCTCCCCATTCAACTGCTTATGGGCCTTGTCCTTACACATCGATTTGACTCCCCCAACCGAGTGAGCTCCAACCAACCACCCAGACCTCCGGAACCACATCTTCCCCTCACGAACGGCATCCCGCTCCTTCGCAAAATCCATCGACTCACCCACCTTGTTGATGGGTATATAGAAGTTCAAATGCATAGTGGAAATTGCTCTGGAGAGCAGATAGGCGAAGATGGCAAACGCCGCGTTCGCCTTATCTGTGAGCTGGGACTCCATTGTTCGGAACTCAACACACCACCCTGGTCCCGAGTCTGTGGTTGGGAGCTTGAAGCGAACGGCGTGCCAGACGCAGCTCTGGAGGAGCTCGAAGAGATTTGTCTTGGAGGTGTTTTGATTATGTATATCTTCTTCAGTTAAAACGAGCGGGTCGCGCGAGAGGATGGAGGCGAAGTGCGTAGCCAGAGACTCGTCCATGCCGCCGTCTAGCAGACGCTGTTTGATTGCTGGATTCATTGGTTGGATTGGTGACTCGCTTTCGAGACCAGGGGGTTTTTCTTCGGAGATGTATGTCCGATTCCAGGTCCAGCGTGGAGGCTATGGGAATTTGTTAGTCTTGGGTATAATTTTCTGTATAGGGGTTTTATAGTTTGACATACGGTGGTTTCCATCTCTTCTGGTCGACGGTCATCTGTGAGATCCCCGAATCGTTGCCAGCGGATATCCGTGTCGACCAGGTATCCCTTCCAGATTGGGACTGCGGCGGTCATGGCGAGGAATATCGGTGCGAGGGGTATTAGCTGGTCGTGTAACCATCTGGCTTCTGTTTCGTTTTGTGCTTGGAAGGTTGTTTGGAGACTGCAGCAGCCGATTCCAACCTCGAGGTCATCTAGGCAGAGGTGGTTTTTGACTTTCTCTCCCGAGGGTAATATATCATGGAATGTATTCGGTGTCTCGATGTCTTGGTAGACTGGGTAATGTGTCTTCTTTCGGCCTTGTCCACGTTTGAGGATATTCTCAGGGATGGTTCTGTACCGTGGAAGAGAGCACATAGAGTAATTAGTCTGGTTTTGACCTTGAGGAGTTGTCCATTGGCCATCCGCTCCAGCACGGGGAAAGAAGGAAAGGGACATGGTATGCTGGTTTGGCGAAAGAGAGTGATTGATGACTTGTCGTCTGGCTGAGATTAGCTCCTGACTCTCCAACAACTGAGAATTCCTTACCTTCTGTTCATATTTTGCTCGACGCTTAGGATATCCTCGATGTGTTCTGTATATGGCTCTGCGGGAGTTGTTTCAACCACATATTTAGCCCATTCCCATTGGAGAACAACGCTGTTTTGGGTGTTAGATGAAGCTATCTTCATTACTAGGATATACTGACGGTTCTTCGTTGCTGGCTGGGCTTTCTTCCCATTGGCGAATTACCTTCTCCTGGTCTAATAGCAATGTCGCCCGCTCGGCGTCTGGGTTTAAATCAACCAGGTTGTATTCAATCTGTAGATTGCATTAGCTCGTTTGATCTTTGATTAGTCTAGGTCAATACATACCTCATCGCCCCACGAAGCAACATTGTCACTGCGAGACCGCTGTTTACGCCAAAGGCAAAGCAATTGCTATCACACGCGTTAGTAACGACAAAATGACGAAAACGAAAGAAAACGAACCTCAGTTGCCCATCTCTGAATATTTGGCGCAGCCTGTTCAGTCTCTGGCCAACCTATGGATGGTCCTTTCACGCTATGCAGGGTTAGAAGTCGCCGTTGCGTGGAATGGTGAACATGTACGTACGGTATACCCATATTCGATATGATTTTGATCTCAAGCAATGGGGCTTGAAAGTAAAGATTGAATAATGTGATAGTACTACGATATCCGAGAGATCTAGAGTTGTTTATAACTAATCGAATATCGATATCAACCTCAACCACAACGTCATTTTCAAGGGCCTAAGTACTGATCTACAGACCACCCGGCGATCATCCGCTTAAGTTTGTGGAATGCTCTTGGCTCTTCACAGTAAAACTCCTGGATATCGAGGAGATGACAATTCACGCTTAGAAAACATGCTTGGCAGTGTCATGTTCCTAACCCTAACCTTGCTATGATGCCGTAATATGACGTGGCACGTTATAGGAATGCAAGGGGGAACCAACCTTTTTTCAAGATAATTGTTGAATCTCGTCGATGGAATGTGGAGACATATTGATAATGATCCTAATTAATTGTCTCAAAAGATAGAGGGAGTTGGGGTCCGTAAACTAGGCCAGAATGCGTGTTTACATAGTGTCGACAGGGAACGATAATGTGGTATCACAACATCAAATGTACTAAATAGATTCTACGTCTCAACCTACAAGTTCTTAGCTAATGGAAACAGTATCGTCAGCGGGAATCCCCATGCTACGCACTTCTGTGTCCACTTCTTGCAAGCCTGCAAGGTATCAGGTACATTAAGGCTCGCGTGATGTTCGATATTCGTCAGCCTCCACGTTTCTCAATGGCTAAATCCCATTCCTCGTTGCGGTGTGGTCATTGCGCCAAGTCCACAAACACCTAAGCTACACTGGATAATAAATTGTAAGGATAAGTATATTTTGTGTAGGAACTCCTTACAAAATGTACATAAGCACAATGAGGTTGCTTCCCGATTCGCACCCTGTTGAGAAGTTATTCTCTTCGCTACCCTTTCACAGTATCATTTGATCTAGGAGTATTGTGCAAATAGAACGACAAAAAGAGGACACAGCAAGAAGAAGCGAGAAAAAAGTTTCAATGAGTGTATACTTTGTGATTAGTGATTTCAATTGCATGTTTTTATAGAGATAGGCTTATTTGTCAGGATGGTTCAAGATCCGGCAGATTGAAATATATCACGGCAATATGACACCCCATTCAATCCAGTTTTGCAGTGATGTCTGCTGCAGCTCTAGCCGTTGCTCTTTGGTCAGGGCAATTGGTTCCAAACCTCTTTTTCTCCTAGATTCTGTTGTCTCACGTAAAGCTGGTCTTTCGTCCTCATCATAGGCAAAATCAAAGGAGCGAACCTCAGCATTAGCCCAGTCCGTTACTTTATAGTATGGATTAGCATGAGATAGTGAGACGTGATAAGTTAATGACGTACCATGTGAATTCACGGCATTCACCCAGTCATCCGTCAGAAAATGCAGAAAGCAGCCATGAGAAACCACCACGATTTCCTTTTCAGGTCGCTGCCTCAGCCACTCCCGTGCCAGTTGAGCTCTCTCCAAAAGCCTACCCATGACGGGAGCCCATTTGCCTTGCTGTTTATGTGTAGTTTGCTTAGCCTCACCCAAACCAACCAGATTAGACACCCGAAAGCGTACCTTAATATGCCAGCCAGGCTCAACCATAGTAAAATCTACCGGCAGTTTCTCAAACTCAGCCTTGATATCAAGCAGATCCCTACCAGTGTCACAGATGAGATCACTTGCTTCCTGCACCTCTGGCCAGGCGATAACCTGCAGGCTACCGTCCCCTACGTGTGAGGGGAACGCTAACAGCGCGGTCTGAATGGTGCGTCGTAGTGGCGATGACAGAATTAGTTGAATATTTTCAAGTGCAGGGAAACTAGCACCTAAGGCGCGGGCTTGCTCTTCTCCCAGGGGCGTCAGTTCAGGGTCAGGCAAATGGTGATTTGCATGGCTGAGATTGTGGAAGCCTTGTGCATGGCGCACACAGTGAACTATTGGTGACATACCTTGCGGAACCACTGAAATGGCTTTCACCCGCTAGGTATGAAAAGGTAGTTGGATTTCGTTTGAGCGTTGTTTCAGAGAAAAAGCAGATAAAGACAGGGGTCTCGCTAGTGCCAAGAATAGTAGTTCCCTGCGCCTCAAAGCGGGGTTTTGTTGATGGTGACATAGAACGACCCCAGCCAGTCGCCCAAACCTTCAAATCAAGACTGTAAATATGGATTTGTTACTGTCTTAGTCGGCGAAGAAGGCTTCACGCGAAATCAAACAGCTCTGCGCCCGCGTCGATGCGCTGGTGAACAACGCTGGCGTGGTTTGCTCCCCTCGTCACTTTCCCGAGGAAGACGTGGAGATTCACTTAGTAGTCAATTGTATTAGATATTTCTTATTCACTCTACTCCCATTGACACACGTGACGCCAAGGTAGCAACAACGAGTGGAAGGCCTCATTTAGGTGCCTTTTTTAAGCACCTGGCTGTCATTCGTGCGAGGCCGGCCCGGAGGGTCGGCCCTAGTTGCTTGCCCAGGTGAAATTGTTGTCTATAAAAGTTTAACTATGCTCTTGCTGCAAGCATACTTGATACTTATTACTAAGGTTGATATTGAGTAATTAAGACTTCCTTTGCACTATATATCTGTATATCTCTACCTATATTCCCGTTAACTGATTTAAGAGTGTGACTATATGCGTTGTGTGTGTACCTTTTGTATTGAGATGTCATACAAAAGATACCTAATCCTAGAATAATATATGCAAATATCGCGATCACTGTGATTTGCGCTTGGACCTCCGTAAGGCAGTTTCTAGTAAATTTTCGAAAGTTTCAAACCACTGGTCAGTGAGAATGATCTAGAATGGTTTTAATATCACTATTAAATGCCGTTGCCTCGATAATGAATTTGAAAAGCGAGCCGTTGGCAGATGGTATCTCATTCTACCGCCTGAAAGCCTATCGAACCATCCACACATGTTATTATATGTATTCTGTTCCGCGAATTTATGTTGTTGCGCCATGTCTCCCGGAAACCTCAATAGTTTCTTGGCATCGAGGACCTTGAGAGGATAGGACTGGGCAAGGCTTGGCAGTCACTCATAAGAATTTACTGAGGCAATAAATTTCAATCCAGTTGTTTTTTTTTAAATTCTCCAATTCCGACAACATGCTGCGTGAGGCATTTCTCATATTCGTATGCGTGGCATGGGCGGGATTTGCCATTCATATCTCGCCGTGGATCAAGGTCAGATCAATATCTTGAAACTGACACTATACACTTAGGACTAACGTCGTGTAGGGCATATCCTATAAAGTTGAACCCTACAATACTACGACATCTCGCTACCCAGTGCCATCGACTTCACACAGTGAAGAACACACGCGTCTACTGCAGACTCTTGAACGATCCAGTGGAAAATGGGACACTACCCACCCGCGACATCGATTGTTAACTGCCCTGCATGGATATAGCAGCTACAAAGACAAAAACCTAGCTGAGGTGACTCGATGGAGAAGTCTTTATAAAAATGTTCCTAAGCGGCAGCGAACGGTATGCTATTTCTTCTTTCTTTTATATCTTTCTGCGAATGTTAAGCAGGGTTGGCTGACTGGCCTAGTTGCTCGAATCAACCATCCACTACACGCGTAAACTCAACACAATGGAACATCTGCTCGAGAAAAATAACGAACTCGCCAGATCTATTGTTGATCACGGTCTTTGGTTCTACAATATTAGTCAACCTGAGCTGGACGAATTCATCAAAGAAAGTGAGACTGAGCAGCGGTACGCTGATAAGACTAGTGTCTCTCAGGGAATGAAGCATTTTGTACGAGACTGGGCAGATGAGGGCCATGAAGAGCGTGACCAATCTTTTGGATGTATTCTGGAATCACTCGCTCAGATACCACGGACGAAAGAGAGACCCTTGCGAGTGCTGTTGCCTGGGTCTGGATTAGGAAGATTAGCGCATGAGGTTGACAAGCTTGGAGGTGAGTACACCTTTTCCTATCCAGGAAGCTTTCATTGGTTAATCAGAGATTAGGCTTTGAGGTCACTATGAATGAATGGTCCACATACATGAATCTGGCATATCGTTATGTATCCAGTGTGTCTGTACCCAACAGTGTATCATTTCACCCGTACATCGACTGGTGGTCTCACCAGGCCACGACCGATGATCTTCAGCGCTCGGTCACATTTCCAAACCAAGTTATTCACCAATCATCTGTCCTGCTCATAGAGGGAGATTTCACTACGGTATTCACAGAACACACAGGCCAGTACGATATCATCGTGACCTTGTTTTTCATCGATACTGCACGGAACCTAGTCACATACCTGGAGACTATCCACAGATTACTTCGCCCTGGTGGCCGTTGGGTGAACCTGGGTCCTTTGTTGTATGGCACCGCGCCATTTGTGCAGCTGTCACTAGACGAGATTGTGACGTTAAGTGAGAGCTTGGGATTTGAGTTCCAGGAGACAGATCCCAAAATTGGAAATATCACATTGCCTAACTTGCCAGTGCGGGGGTTGGAGGTGGCATATGGTCGAAATGGGCGTGGGTTGAATAAGAATGCGTATCAGGCGCAGTATTGGGAGACTATTAGGCGTTAGAAAAGAACAAAATCCATGTAATATTTTGCCTTCTATTGAATTCCAAGCAGAGTGACTGCGGGTTAATAACATATCATCTCAATGCAACTTGGTGGTTCAAGAACGGGAGGCATGAGACGGGATAGGGCTATGAGCTACCTGCATCTTTGCCGGGGCAATACAATATCTCGTATAATACCCACCTAATTTAACCACCGAATAGCAATTCGTTTCCAAAAGCCAACATAATGACGCCCCTTCTACTCTAGCCCGCATTGACTAGCTAGCGCAGTCAGCGTCTCGGGCACGAGTTTCCGCTGATTCCGGTATGGTAGCTTAACCACATCAACAGATAGCAAAGATAGTTAGCTATACTAATCGAGTGTGCTAAACGAATGGAGAAGAACTTGCTCTTCTTGTAAACTCGAAATTCACATAACGAAGGCATTGTATAGCTCCTCGAATTATTGGCAAGTTGGGATCAGCAGGGACTGTCTGGTCTGACCTACACATGGTCCAATCCAAGATAGCCAAGATATATCCAAGAAACGCACAGCGCTCATTAATAAAAGATTCTTACCTACCACACGACCATCCAGCCGAAGACCAATAATCTTCCTAATGTAATGAGACAGCCCCCGCCGGCGCCAAGGCTCAGTGAGAACCTTTGGGGCACCAAGACTTCCTCTTTTCTTGGCGTCGCAAACCCTACTATCTCAGCGGAGTGGCAGGTATAAAGGGTCCGGACCCTGTGCAGTAAATCTCTGATTCCAGAACATTTGCCATTGTGATTATACTGTGCACAGTCCTCAAGTCCCTCGCCAAAATGAGACTATCTATCTTTTTCATTGCACTCTTGACTTCGGTCTCATCTGCAGCCACAACTGAGGATCCAGGCCCATCTCCTACTGCTTCAATCGGCTGTGAGCCACACGGAGATCATTGGTTTGTTCTACCCCGTCGCATACTGTGTCTATTACTCGAGAGTCTTTAGTAACACATTATATACAGGCACTGTGACGGCCCAGCCTCAACAGCTATCACCTCAGGTACATCAACGACAAGCGAGGTTGAAGTGAGCACCACTGCGGATGCTTCTCCCACCGCGCCCAGTCCTACCGAGTCTATTGGTTGCGAGCCACATGGCGACCACTGGCACTGTGATGGACCAGCCTCAGCCACTGTCTCAGGTACATCAACGGGCGATGTCAAAGTGAGCACCACTGCAGACGCTTCTCCCACAGCGCCCAGTCCTACTGAGTCTGTGGGCTGCGAGCCACATGGTGACCACTGGCACTGCGATGGACCGGCCGAGACAGCTAGTGCTTCTGTCAGTGCTTCTGCCAGTGCCTCTACAAGTGCTTCTGCCAGTGCCTCTACAAGTGCTTCTACAAGTGCTTCTACAAGTGCCTCCACGAGTGCCTCCGCCGGTGCCGCTACGAGTTCTGGAGATGACGCAGGTGGTGCTGGATCAATTGGAGTGCAATTCTCCCTACTTGTTGGATTGTCACTTGTGGCTGCTGGTCTGAATATTTGATTGACGATGATCTCAGAGACATGAGACTGTGTATATGTGTGTGTATATTTGTGTGCGTGTGTGCGGGTTTATGTTGCTATATCAAGCCAAGTGTATCAACCTACAGTGCAGTGACCTCACTCCGTACTGTATTGTCTTTCCATTCGGCTTCAAGAAGATAGTCTGATTTCAATTTCAGTTTCGTGATTGGAGGGAATCCTGCACTTGAAGTTGCTTGTAAGAGCTATGGGAAATTTGACCCTAGGCAAAAGCTATTGAGCGTATTGTTTAATCCCTAAAATGTGCTTAAGCATGAGACTGAGTCCCGGTAATTCAAGTGCTAATTAGCATAGTACAGGTCATGAAGCATAACCGCGCAGGGGCCAAGCAAACAAATGAATAAATAATAATGTGGCGAGCGCGAAACGAACGGTAATCTAAGGATGGGAAAAAAAAAGGGGGAATGATCGACGAAATGGAACCTAGCGATATAGAACCCTACACTAACGGTGGCTACTGTAGAGCAGTATACCGCTAGGATCCATTCCGTCGATCATTCCGAGGAGGATATCCTAATGGTGATTCTTATACTATCTTGAAAAGACATTGAAGTGCATTAAAGGAAAATTTAGATGTTTGGATGAATATAACTACCGGTCAATGTAGGCTCTTCGTGCATATCGCCCGATTAGGTAATTTCTCTAATCCCATCTCTGCTCTCAAGCAACCATACAACTAGGTGATTGCCTTTATAAGCCTAACTCATCATGTACTACTACTGCCCCTGTGGGCACATACCTAAGTATCTCATACAGCCATTTGGCCTAGCCAGGCCGAAAAATTCCAAATTTCCGAACGGACAGACACTGAAGAATATACATGTTGAAAAGTACTATAGTGCACTCGCTGACCATTGAGGGTCTGAATTCGTAACATGACATGTAAACTATTAGGATTGACACCGTGAGCTTCGTGGGAGAATATTTGCTTAATTTTGCTCCAATTTGATCGATGCATTGTGGTCAAGATGCCGGGCTCTAGTTTTACGCTAAGTGACCTTACGACCTTAAACCCTATGTGCAACCCACATCTATACGACATTATTGTATCATGAATTGCAAAATGGGTCATACAAAAAAAACCAATAGAAATAGGAGTAAAGAAAGGTCACAATAGATGACCGCAAAGTAGTCATCAAAGAATCTGGTTGTGGATTAGCAGTGCGAACAAGAGAAAAGCAAGTGAAGGATCTCGATGGAGAAAGTCCGATGATTTGTTTTTTTTTTGTTTCTTTCGCTACATAGAATGTTGAATACAGAACGAGTGTGGGAAGATCCAGGATGGGTATGTATAGCCAGTTCGAGGGAGATGTAAACAAGACGGAAAAAGGAAAGATGGAACTGGATCCCCTATCCAAGTGGAGAGAAGGAGAAGGAGAACAAGAAAAAAGACAAGAGGAACAGAACGGACTTAACCTCCGTAATGTTCCAGCCCTAGATCCTATCCTACAATCCAGTGATCCGGAAAATCGGAAATTGAAAGTTGGTTTGGTTGGCTTGTAAAAAAAAAACGAGAGCTTCGTGAGTAGTGGGTTACATTGAACAAAGAACACCAAGAATCCAGAACAGGAGAGGGAATAAATTCTGCATTGCACGCTGCTGCAAGAGGGGAAGAGGGAGAGAGATCCAGGTACAGTAGAGGCAGAGTAGAGGTAATAGCAACAGACGCTCTATTCCTGTCCAAAGCCAAGCGTTTCCTCCACCGCGATAGACATTTTGTGCTCGAGGGCATCGTGCGTCTTGTAAGGAGGGAGATCAAGACGGTTGAAGCTGTGTTGAGAAAAAGGTTAGCTATGACACACCAGATATAACAGCCAGCATCGGATACATACCAAGTGTGCGACTTGGGTAGCGCAGCAGGATCACCAGACTTCTCAATGGTAAACCGTCTGGGACCATCAGATCCCTGCAGATCCTTGAATCCGTTGACAGGGATACGCGAGGTACCAGTAGTGAACTGGAGAAGACGAGACTTCTGCTCGGCATCCCAGGTGCGGACGATCTTCCAGAAGTTCTGGATGACCTCGTCCTGCTCCTGGTAGCCGCGGTAGTCGGTGTGCTTCTTCCAGTCTTCGACATCGATATCAGCGATACCACCAATGAGCAACTCGAGTTCGCGCTCGTCGAAGACGTTGACGAGATCGGGGGGAATAAGCTCGTTGAAGCCGGACATGAAGGCGTCGAACTGCTCCTCGACTCGCTTCATGATCTTCCATTCCGTAACCAACCTGCGATGAGGTTAGCGGGGTTTCATCGGGCTGGAGGCTGAGGTGGTTCCACTTACTCAATGTACTGAGGCTTGTTCTCGTTGGTGACGGGAATGTCCCGACCACCGGGTATCAAATCAATAGTGCGACGCTCGCCAAACTTCTCATCGTCAACCGAAAATGTGAGTTCCACAATTCCGTTAATGTCGTTATCCCTGCCATGGAGTTAGTGACTATTTCTCGGAACAAGAGTATGTATCAATCTTACAGTGTCCATGCCAAATTGCGGTGCAGATCCTCATCCACACCTTCCATATCTTGAAGACTGACCTTCTTCCGCAACATCATCTTGTAGAAAGCTCCAATGAAGAAGGAATCCAAGAAACGACGGTGGAAGATAGCCAGACCAACCACTCGGCCGATGAACTTGAAGTAATTGAGATGCTCGGGGTTCACGCCCGAGTGGGGATTAATCTGCAGGGTGTAATTATCATGGGCAGAGTATTCGAAGAGACAGTAGAAAGGATTGAACATTTCGTGGGAGAGGAGGAAGAAGAATTCACTAAGAGAGTTAGCAACTTTTTCCCAAGGCTGGAGAAAAGGAGAACAGAACATACCGTGAAAGACCACCGTAGTCAAGACCATCTTCACCATCGAACTTGATCATTAGGCGCTTCTTAAGATCAGATGCACTCTGGCGCATAATCTCGGCATATGAATCCTCGAAGATGTTATTACGACGGACTTTAACGTGGCACTGTCCGGACATAATGCGCAACGCGGGTTGGGACCGGAAGTAGATCAGCTTGCGGCGGAAGTCACGCTTATACTGGGGCACACCCTGATCCAAAGAGGAGGGGAGTCGCGGATCATCCCAAGTAGTCGTCTTGGTGTTGTGGTCGACGAAATATACTCGAGCAGTGTTGGTAAGACGCATCTCCCAGCCGCTAGGGAGAGGACCCAATTGGGATACGGGCTGCTGTTGAATGGTGGTATTGTTCGCTCCACCTGTGGTCTGTCCCTGGCCATACATGCGGATATACTGCTGCCGACGAGGATCGACCCATGTTGTCGTCCGGGTGTTGTGGTCCACGAAGTAGGGCCGTCCCTCGGGTGTCACTCGTCGTTCCCAGCCTGGTGGAAGCTCCCCTGTGCCTGCAGTGGTGGCTCCCGTCGCCATCATGGAGATTGCGGCGGCGTTGGACCCGGCTGGGGCTCCAGTTGCGAGAGAGGTTCCTGCGTTAGGCCCGGGCGGTGGTGTAGGTATCTGCTGGGCATCCGGCAGGTTGGGTGAATTGGCGCCAGTTCGATCCTCTGGGAGCATTCTGCTCTGGTGGGCCCGACGTTCGAGCTGCATGTTGGCTTCGCGCTGCGAACGTTGGGCATGCTCGTTGTAGTTAGCCGATGGTCGTGACCAAGTCGTGGTGCGCGTATTGTGGTCCACATAATATGTCCGTCCCAAATTGTCTTCGCGGCGTTCGTATCCGGCGGGGAGTCGACCCTGACTATCCTCAAAGGAGCTGAGATTGGCGCGAGAGGGGGCGCCGGGTCCAGGGGGGTTCGTCGGGGCGCCATTCAACGGGGGAGGAGCGCCAGCCGGTGGACCGGTGGTCGGAGTACGCTGGGCCAATGATGAACTTGATGCTGCGGCAGGGGATGTATCGAGATTGCTGGGGCCAGCCTGTGATTGGGGTGTGGTTGCTGCAACCTGGGGCACAAGGCCGCTGGAAGTGGATGTCTGGGCCTGTTGACGTTGGAGTCCATTCTGGTTCGGATGCGGGGTGGTGAGGTTTGATGATAGGTTGATGATCAATTTTCCGTGGACCACGAGGTTATCATTCGATTTTTTCAGATCCCGAGTTAGCATTTCTGTGGGGGGCACATGGCCGTCAGCTCAGTCCACGTTTTCATGACTCGCGATCGGCGTTCTTCAGACGTACCATCACCACCCATCGACAAGTCAATGACATCGCCGATGCGAACATTGATGACTCCGAGGAAACCCTGGTCCTTCTTCTTGAATTTCTTCTGGTCGAAGATCTGAATTGCAAGAATGCTGTCCTCGTTGACTCTCCTGTAAAGATCCATGGTTAGCAAAATTTACCCTTTTCGCTGACAACAGCGGGGTATCACGTACAAGTCGAATGGCTCATTCCAATAGGGGTTCAGAGTCTTCTTGATCACAGAAGTTGTATGTGTTTGCTCTCCTCCAACAGTAGCCACAGCGAATGGATCGGGGAATCCTAGAAAGAGGAAAAGATGGTCAGTTCAACCCCGCAGCGCTCGAACGACCGATCTCAAGGAGACAACATACTGAAAACATCGCGTTTGTACAAGCCGTCAGCCGCGATAACTATAAAGCCAGAGATGTTAGTCTTGTACGGATGCGGAACCCCGCAGAGTCCCAAGATGATTCGACGGAATGACAGTCTTACTCGTGACCCGGAGATTTGGCTGGCTACAATTCATGTCAGCGGATGATCTGACGATCGAGGCTCGATCGGAATAGTGGTCAGAGAGGGGTACAACTTACGCTGGGAGATTTGACGCCATGATGCTTTACAAGCGCCGATCAATCACCGCCAAAGAACAGCGCGGGCGCGCACATTCACGAGGGGGAGAAGGACCAAACCGAGTTCGCCCAGGGTCAAAGCCTGGAAAGAGTGGATAGGTTGGTGATTTGCAGGTTTGGTGATGGTTAGTGTTGAGAGAGGAGAAGGAAGAGAAAGGGAAGGGTTAGGCGTTAGGTGCGCCC